AATTCTGTAATTGCTATTGTCTTCACCCTTAACAGTTGAATCTGCAACGGAATTGATGCTTCTAGATGTTTGTTGATCGCCTCTGATTTGGCATATTCCCCATGGAGATGGAAATTTAATAACTTGATGTAAAGTTGAAGGAACAGCTTCCATGTCATGAATCCATGGCCTCCCAAGAATCATATTGTAAGCCATTTCCATATCTACAACTTGAAATTTGGTATCTTTAACGACACCTTCTGCGAATGTGGTAAGTATTGCCTCCCCTTTTGTTACAACACTAGAGTTATCAAATCCCGACAAAGTGTGCACCTTTGGAATTAATTTATCCTCCGCTTGCATCTCGCGCAATACCCGTATTAAAACAATGTTTACGGAACTACCTGGATCAACCAAAACTCGTTTCACGTTAGTATCATGTACAAGTAAAGATATTACCAGTGCGTCGTTATGCGGAGTTATGAGTCCCTCAGCGTCTGCGTTGTTGAATATAACATTCTCTTCTTCCAGTACATGTCGAGGCCGCTTCCCGTGGGTAATTGTCACTTTTGAAACCTTTTTATATGATACATCATTGATCTCTTCACCTCCGCTTATAACGTTGACAGTTCTCTTGGGCGAAGGTGGTTTTGGAGGCTCCTGTCTGTTCTTCATGTATGCTTGTTTACCTTTCTCACTGAACAACTCAGTAAGATACCCTTGTTTTAACAAATGATCAACTTCACCTTGTAGAAACCTGCAATCTGTTGTTTTATGCCCATGATCGTTATGAAATTCGCACCAATGATCAGGTTTCGTCTATTCGGATTCGATCGCATTTCCTTTGGCCATCGTACCTTATCTCCCATGCTTCTTAAAACAACCACGAGTTCAGAGGTGCTTACGTTGAAGTTGTAACCACCGAACCTTGCCTTTAGACTTCCATCATCGTCTCGTGACCCGCGTGTGTTCCGATCATTTTCGAACCTCGATGAGGAGCCTGATTCCCTGTTTCTAGGTTTGTGATCGTACCTTTGATTATCTTGCCTTGATCGTGAGTCTTTTCCCGTAGGTCCCATGTATGGCTTGTACCTGTTTTTACCGGATCTCTTTTCATTTTCCACACGCCTTGAGCTTACCTTTTCTTCTGTTTTATGTCGTAAAATAATGTCTTCTTCAATCCTCATCTTTGTACTGTATCTGTTGTAGACATCATTCCACGTTGTTGCTGGGAATTCTCGAAGGCTTTCTTTGAGTCGCCTCGTTGCTTCTAAACTCTTCTCATTCAAATTACTAGCAAAGGCTATGGCTGCCCAATTGTCAGGTACTCGTGGCAGCGTCATTCTTTCCCGTTGAAATCTATCTACGAACTCTCTAAGCAACTCTGAGTCTCCTTGCTTGATTTTGAAGATATCTTCCATTCGCTTTTCAACTTTTTGAGCTCCCGAATGTGCTTTGATAAATAAATCTACAAGCTCAGCAAACGAATTTATAGAATTTTCGTGTAAAAGAGAATACCATGTTAAAGCTCCTTTAGTGAGTGTTTCACCTAATTTTTTGACCAAGACCGACTCAATCTCTTGCTTAGTCAAATCATTGCCCTTGACACCTGCTGTGAATGCAGTAACGTGATCTCGTGGATCTGATGTACCATCATACTTTGGAATATCAGGCATCTTGAACTTCTTTGGAATTGGGAGGGGAGCAACACTTGGCTTCCATGGTTGTTGGGAATATTTATCTATATCCACTCCCTTGATCACGGGCGGTACTCCAGGTATTTGCTCTATGCGTTCATTTTGCTCCTTAAGCTGTTTCTGCAAGGTTAGTACTAAATTTTGTAAATCAGAGTTAACTGGATTACCTGGGTCTCTCTCTTGTGTTTCACCAGGGGTTCCACCGCTGCCTGAATTAACCAATCCTGAACGAGGATTCTCCAAAGTGTTGTTGTTTGGAGTAGATGTGGGTGGAACAACAGGTAATTGGCTAACAAAAGCTTGAAGAGCGTTATTGACTTGAGAGGCAATAAGTTTTTGCAAAGCCTCATTCATGGTTTCAACATTTTCGAATTGAGCCTGTCCATCTGTGTGAGATCCATCAGGAGTGCCTTCACGAGACCATCGTGGGGAGCCTCGTGGAGAACCTTGTGGAGAGCCTCGTGGGGAATCTCCCTGAAGTTGTTGGATTGTCTGAATTTCTGGGTTTCCTTGAGTGTTGTCATTGTTGTTCGACATGATTGATGCAATCAAGAAAATTAGGTTGAGATATGCTTGATTATCAGATTCCCGGTAACGGAACCAATTTATTTAACCAAAAATTAGATTTTAGGTCAAAGCTTGAATTTAGAAGAACTCGGGTTACTGATTCGAAAAAATATATAAGAAAGAGATTTTGATTAATATAATCAGAAAGCAAATAAATCAAAGTATATTCCAGTAGTGTTTTTTCCGTGTCCCTACAGTTGTTTGTGACTTTCCCTTTTATAGCTGCTTTGGGAATACAAACTTTCCCTTTGTCATAATAAGACAATTATGGGTAATTAATGACCTTAAATGTTACGTTATGCAATCATATACATTAAATACATATTCTCTAACGTTTCTAGTATTTAATACTCATTAAATGCTGTATCTGGGCTCTTTTTTGCTGTCAGATTCATTCCTTTGTCTTTTCTCGATCTTTGACCTTTGAATGTCTTGAATAGGTACGAGCGTTGAATTATTTGTATGATTGCTCGTGCCTTCTTCATTTATCTTGCTCGTATCTGTTGTTGCTCGTGTCTGTTAACCAACCTTAATTCTTTGACTGTTTGATCAGTCTACGTGTCATGACACGTCACCATATATATATAAATACAATTTTTCCCAATACATTTACATCGATGCATATTAATTAAACACATTAAACACGGGATAAAGCAACATCTAATAATAATACTTTGCTTAAGTATTTGTCAGATTTATTCCTTACTTGTATTAGTAGAAAATAGCATTATCGATAAAATAGTTAAAGTGTGTATAAGCTGGTTCAAACATTACTGTTGTAAAAGAAGGTACTTTGCTCACATAAAACCAAATGGTCCTTGTTATAGTACTATTTTTTTTTTTGGGGTGAAATTCAAAAATAGCCAGATTTACAAGTGATAATTGAAAAATAACTACAATTTCAAAAATAATCGAAATTTAGTCACTTTTCATATAAAGATAAATCTGTACGAAAATACTATTCAAAATTTAAAAAATATTATTGATTCCCAAATTTTCAGATTCATATACAGGTGCACTAATATCCAGTATATTATGCTGAAACTTTTCGTATTACAATAAAATAGTGCTATTTTTTAATGACTAATGCTTACTGTCTTTCAATTACCAATCCAAAAACTGACTATTTTTTAAAAATAGCCTAAAAATGACTAATGCTTACTAGCTCCTGATATTTTTACATTTTTTTTAGCTTTAAAATTGAACTAAATCCAACCAGTAACACCTGGCGTAAAAGAAAGAGGGCATCTTTCAAGTAACGTCACTCTCTCGACCGACATATAAAAACGCACAGGATAAAGTTGAAACCTCACACTCTGTATTAGTATTACTATCATCTCCTCCACTACAGAGTTGAATTCGAAAACATCGAGCAACTTCCAAATGGCACTTCGAACTGTAATGACCAAAAGGACCTTGACCGGAGGTCTAGGGTTCCGGCAACAACTCCGCGGCGTACAGACTTTCTCACTCCCCGATCTCCCTTACGATTATGGTGCCTTAGAACCTGCTATTAGCTGTGAGATCATGCAGATTCATCACCAGAAACATCATCAGACTTACATTACAAATTACAATAAAGCCCTTGAACAGCTCCATGATGCCATCACTAAGGGTGATTCTCCTACCGTCGCTAAATTGCAGAGTGCTATCAAGTTCAATGGCGGAGGTAAGTCCACTTTCTCTCTCTTTGTGCTAAATTACAGAGAATTTATACATCCTACACTAATTAATTTGGGATTAGATGCTGTTGATTGATTAATATAACTCCCTCCGTCCCATTTTATGAGATGATGTTTGACTGATCACAGAGTTTTCACATAAATAAAGAGTTTTGAAACTTGTGTCTAGAGTAAGTCATATATATTTGTGTGTTATAAATTATTTCAGTAAGGTAAAATGAGAAGTTTAAAGTTAAATTATTTTTAAGTATAGAAAGTTACCAAGGTAAGGTATGCATATATACTACCCTCCCCTACCCCACTTGTCGGGTTAAATGGGTCTGGTGTTGTTGTATCAATTTTGGACAGACTAAAAAGAAAAAAATACATCACATATAAGTAGTTGATTGATTGATATTAATTGGTAGCTCTTGCATCTATTAGCAAGAGTTGAATTCACATTGTACTGAGAACTGAGGGATTGAAGTTGTGAAGAAATTCACATAGAATGGGAGTTGGATGGTAAGATGGGGGATTATCTGGGAAGAATTGTTTGACTATTATTAATCATCATTCGACCCGTTAAATGTCAATTCAAAGAAATTTTTAGGCATCTGCCTGGGGATTATAATAATCAAGATCAAATCTAATCAAACTAGTGATGTAAATTGAGTATCCAAATGGTTGTTTTACTTCCCGGAGAAGGAGAGAAATGATTAGATACTCTAGTGATTTTGGTTTATTTATGTACAAAAGCAATTATATGGTCCCAAAAGAAACTAAGAGTTGGCGTGAACTCTTGAACTAAAATATCAACTGGTGGATTATTTATCAGCCTGGATATACCTTGGTTTTCTCAACCATGCTTGTTTTCTTACTTTCCGTGGTTACATGCTGTATAACTTGTGTTCATGTGATTGTGAAGCCATTTCATGTATCATGCTTGTCAATTGTCAAAGTATATTGATCTTTTTTGGATAGTGAAAATATATTGCTCTTTCATTCAAGTTAATTTTCCTGGCCGTATGTTCATGCAGGTCATATTAATCACTCAGTTTTCTGGAAGAACCTTGCCCCTATTCGAGTAAGCTAACTTCCTCAGATACTTCTTTCTGTGTTGCAGGGAAATAACTTAAAAGCTAAATCATATTGCAGGAAGGTGGTGGCGAGCCGCCGAAGGGTTCTCTTGGCTCGGTAATAGACACTAACTTTGGCTCTCTTGAAGCTTTAATACAAAAGATGAATGCGGAAGGTGCAGCTTTACAGGGTTCTGGTTGGGTGGTAAGTTTGCACTTTTTGTTTCTTCCGTAGATTGTATACCGCAGTATTGGTTCTTCAGTGGTGAGTGTTTGGTCTCTAAGATTCTGATTCTGTATCATGCTTTCTGTTTCTTCTTTACATTTCCTTCTATGCAAGTGGCTTGCTCTGGACAAAGAGCTGAAGCGCCTAGCGATTGAAACCACCTCAAATCAGGTAACTTATCCTTGCTTTATGGTGAACTCTTTGATAGTAAGCGTCCTCTTAATAGTTGAAGCTGATTGTCTAGTTTATTCATATTTCTCCGCTTCTGTTGCCACTCTATGATTATGTAATAATCAACAAAAAGAGAAAGGAGAAGGCACAAGACGTTAATCTTTGTGCTGCTTCAAGCTATGTTACTCGGACTCTTCAAAAATGTTGTTGGGTGCGTGTAGGATCCTCCAAATTTAGTGCATTTTTGGAGGATCGGACACAGGTGCGGCAGCACTTTTGGAAAGTCCGAGCAACATAGGCTTCAAGATTATGAACCTGCACTCATAATTTGTCATTCATGCTTAGTTGCACCATAGTAAAAGGTGATACTATGTGTTTATGATGTTCAGATGGATTTCCTGTTCTTAGATCTGTCCGGTAGTTGTGGCTTCCCTTTTCTTTCTGGAATAAAAAATGCATTAAGAAAAGGTTTAAAGCTCCTTTTGACCATGTAAAGATTCAGCGAAATCCATCAAGATGTCAATATTGTTACATTGTACATCTTACAGTTGCACCAAAAAAATTGTGAGCATCTATATTTGTTAATTTGTACAGGCTTAAACCGTCTTTCAAAGCATCTGCCCCGTTCCTTCTACCTATTCCGTAGAATGCATAAAGAATTAGGTGCCCGAAGAGACTTCAGTCATTTCTTAATCGTCTGTCCAGTTTCCATGAGTGCTCGTCATTGTTCTTGGATCACCAACTGTATACCGAAAAAGGTTTAAGACACGCCCCAAATCTATCGACTATAATCACAGTGAAAAAACATATGTGATGGAGCTTTGCAACAACTTGAAAACAAGTAAGCATCTATTGCATATGCCCATAGCCCTTGTTTGTGGACTATCTTGAGTGAAACGTGTTAATTTGCTGTTATCCAAGCAAACAGGAACGTTTTGCTGGAGCTTTATCTTTCCAAATAATTGTCCATGTGGCTGGACCTCCTCTGTTATCTGCGGCGGTTCAATACTATTGGGGGCTGTTAGAATAGTCATGTAAATAGGAGTAAATAAATAACCCTAATCCAATATATGTTAGGAGTAGGACATGTTATGTGTGTATATATATAGGGCTCATTGTAACATATGTATATACATCAATAATATATTTTCTCCCGTGCTTTCTCACATGGTATCAGAGCTACGGTGAGAAATTTATCGTTGTGCGTCATTCCAGCGATAACCGGGAAGAAAGAACTCAGTCACCGTGCAATTTTCCGGTGACCTAAGTGACTTATTGCGTCAAAGTCACTAATTAACAGTGTTGTGCAAAATCCAACACCACCACAAGGTTCCCAAGAGAGATCCGACCAAACCCCAGAAAAAATCACCGGAAAATAGCCCTCCACGCGCCGTCACGCGCCTGTCGGAACTCTGCCGCCGGCGGCGCGTCTGTCCCACGCGCCGGCGCGTGAGGCCTCTTCCGGCCATTTTTCGGCTTCGCTTCTTCAGGACAGTTGGATCGCCCTGCAATTCCGAGCCTGTCCATATTTTTATTTTTTAATTCCGACCACTTTGAGTTTTTCCGGCGACTACACTGATTTTTCCGGCAGCTACAGTACTTTTCCGGCAAACACAGTGTTTTCTTCATCTGTCTCAGAGAATTTTCAGTTGATTCTTTTTTGTTATTTAGTGATAATCCAACCATGTCTTTGGGAGTCGATGCTTTCGGGTCTAGAAACCCGAGTTCTGGCAGTTTCCGGTGTTATGATTACCTCAGAACCTTTAATGGGAGGTTCAAACTACTTAGATTGGGCTTCATCTGTCGAGTTGTGGTGTAAAGGTCAAGGAGTTCAAGATCATTTAACAAAAAAGGCTAGCGAAGGTGATGAAAAGGCCAAAACACAATGGGAGAAGGTCGATGCTCAGTTATGTAGTATCCTGTGGCGATCTATTGATTCCAAGTTGATGCCCTTGTTCCGTCCATTCCAGACATGTTATTTAGTTTGGGAAAAGGCTCGTAATCTATACACTAATGACATATCTCGTTTCTATGATGTAATATCGCGAATGACAAGCTTGAAGAAACAGGAATTAGATATGTCTACTTACTTGGGACAAGTTCAGGCAGTCATGGAAGAATTTGAGACGTTGATGCCAGTTTCTGCTAGTATTGAAAAACAACAAGAGCAACGACAGAAGATGTTTCTAGTTCTTACACTCGCTGGACTCCCTAATGACCTTGATTCAGTACGTGACCAGATTTTGGCTAGTCCAACCGTCCCCTCAGTTGATGAATTATTCTCTCGATTACTTCGCCTTGCTGCAGCACCTAGTCACCCAGTGAGCTCATCACAGACACTTGACTCATCTGTCCTCGTATCCCAATCAGTGGACAATCGGGCATCTCATACTATGGAGAATAGACGAGGAGGAGGTCGTTTTGGAAGATCTAGACCCAAGTGCTCCTATTGTCATAAACTTGGACACACTCGTGATGTATGCTATTCTTTACATGGCCGCCCAACCAAAAATGCTTATGTTGCTCAGACTGAGACTACAGGTAACCAGGGATTTTCTTTATCTGAAGGGGAGTATAATGAGTTCCTTCAGTATCGAGCAAGTAAGCAGACATCTCCACAAGTAGCTTCTGTTGCTCAGACTAATACTTCTGTTGCTGGTAATTCTTTTGCTTGTGTTTCCCAGTCTAGTCCTCCTGGACAATGGGTTGTGGACTCAGCCGCTTCTGATCATATCTCTGGTAATAAATCACTTTTGTCAAATATTGCGTATTCACAGTCTCTTCCCACTGTTACTTTAGCCAATGGGTCTCAAACCAAAGCAAAAGGAGTTGGACAAGCGAATCCCCTACCCTCTGTCACTCTAGATTCCGTTCTCTATGTCCCTGGCTGTCCTTTTAATCTTGCATCTGTTAGTCGTTTGACTCGTGCCCTCCATTGTGGTATATATTTTATTGATGATTCTTTTATTATGCAGGACCGCAGTACAGGGCAGACGATTGGAACAGGACTTGAATCAGAAGGGCTTTACTACCTTAACTCCCTAAAATCCTCCAAGGCATGTCTAGTTACAGATCCTCCGGACCTAATTCACAGACGTTTAGGACATCCAAGCTTATCCAAGCTTCAGAAGATGGTGCCTGGTTTGTCTAGTTTATCCACATTAGAGTGTGAGTCATGTCAGCTCGGGAAACATACCCGAGCCTCCTATCCTCGTAGTATTGAGAGTCACGCAGAGTCTATTTTTTCTTTAGTTCACTCTGATATATGGGGTCCTAGTAGAGTCAGTTCAACCTTGGGATTTCGTTATTTTGTTAGTTTTATTGATGATCATTCAAGATGTACTTGGATTTTCTTAATGAAAGATCGTTCTGAGTTGTTTTCTATATTCCAGAATTTTTGTGCTGAAATTAAAAATCAATTTGGTGTTTCCATTCGCACTTTTCGCAGTGATAATGCCTTAGAATATTTATCCTCTCAATTTCAGCAGTTTATGACTTCTCAAGGAATTATTCATCAGACCTCTTGTCCTTATACCCCTCAGCAAAATGGGGTTGCAGAGAGAAAGAATAGGCACATCATTGAGACTGCTCGCACACTTCTCATTGAATCTCATGTTCCGCTGCGTTTTTGGGGCGATGCAGTTCTCACAGCTTGTTATTTAGTTAATCGGATGCCTTCCTCTCCCATCCAGAATCAGATACCGTATGCAGTATTGTTTCCCCAATCACCCGTATACTCTGTTCCCCCTCGTGTTTTTGGGAGCACTTGTTTCGTTCATAACCTAGCCCCTGGGAAAGATAAGTTAGCTCCTCGTGCTCTCAAGTGTGTCTTCCTTGGTTATTCTCGTGTTCAGAAGGGATATCGTTGTTACTCACTTGATCTTCGTAGGTACTTTATGTCCTCTGACGTCACATTTTTTGAGTCTAAACCTTTCTTTACCTCTTCTGACCTTTCTGACCCCCTTGATATATCTGAGGTCTTACCTATACCGACCTTTAAGGAGTCTACTATAGCTCCTCCTTCACCTTCCGCCACAGAAGTCTTACCCGAGTCTCCTATAGCTCCTCCTTCACCTTCCGCTATAGAAGTCTTATCCATTCCAACCGTTGAGGAGTCTAGTGTGGCTCCTCCTAGACTCCCTGCCACAGGAACACCACTTTTGACATATCATCGTCGTCCGCGCCCAGCATCAGGTCCAGCTGATTCACGTCCTGCACCTGACCCTGCTAATACTGCGGACTTGTCTCCTCTTAATCAACCGATTGCACTTCGGAAAGGTATACGGGCCACCCTTAATCCTAATCCCCATTATGTCGGTTTGAGTTATCATCGTTTGTCATCACCCTATTATGCTTTTCTATCTTCTTTGTCCTCTGTTTCCATCCCTAAGTCTACAGGTGAAGCATTGTCTCATCCAGGATGGCGACAGGCTATGATTGACGAGATGTCTGCTTTACATACGAGTGGTACTTGGGAGCTCGTCCCTCTTCCTTCAGGTAAATCTACTGTTGGTTGTCGTTGGGTGTATGCAGTCAAGGTTGGTCCGGATGGTAAGGTTGATCGTCTTAAGGCTCGTCTTGTTGCCAAAGGATATACTCAGATATTTGGGCTCGATTACAGTGATACCTTCTCTCCTGTGGCTAAGATAGCATCAGTCCGCCTTTTTCTATCCATGGCTGCTGTTCGCCATTGGCCCCTCTATCAGCTGGACATTAAGAATGCTTTTTTACACGGTGACCTTGAGGATGAAGTTTATATGGAGCAACCACCTGGGTTTGTTGCTCAGGGGGAGTCTCGTGGCCTTGTATGTCGCTTGCGTCGGTCACTTTATGGTCTAAAGCAGTCTCCTCGAGCCTGGTTTGGTAAGTTCAGCACAGTTATTCGAGAATTTGGCATGATTCAGAGTGAAGCTGATCACTCTGTATTCTATCGGCATTCTGCCTCGAGTCTCTGTATTTATCTGGTGGTCTATGTTGACGACATTGTTATTACCGGCAATGACCAGGATGGTATTACTAAATTGAAGCAACATCTCTTGCAACACTTTCAGACTAAGGATCTGGGCAAACTAAAGTATTTTCTGGGTATTGAGGTCGCTCAGTCTAGCTCAGGTGTTGTGATCTCACAACGAAAGTATGCCTTAGATATTCTTGAAGAGACAGGAATGACAGGTTGTAGACCGGTTGACACTCCGATGGATCCGAATTCTAAACTTATGCCAGGACAGGGGGAACCTCTTAGCGATCCTGCAAGATATAGACGGTTGGTTGGTAAATTAAATTACCTTACAGTGACAAGACCTGACATTTCCTTTTCTGTGAGTGTTGTGAGTCAGTTTATGGATTCTCCGTGTGATAGTCATTGGGATGCAGTTGTTCGCATTCTTCGGTATATAAAATCAGCTCCAGGCAAAGGTTTATTGTTTGAGGGTCGAGGCCATGAGCAGATCGTTGGATACTCAGATGCTGATTGGGCAGGATCACCTTCTGATAGACGTTCTACGTCTGGATATTGTGTCTTGGTAGGAGGAAATTTGGTGTCCTGGAAGAGCAAGAAACAGAATGTGGTTGCTCGGTCTAGTGCAGAAGCAGAATATCGAGCGATGGCTATGGCGACATGTGAGCTAATTTGGATCAAACAGTTGCTCAAGGAGTTGAAATTTGGTGAGATTAGTCAGATGGACTTGTGTGTGATAATCAAGCTGCTCTTCATATTGCGTCAAATCCAGTGTTCCATGAGAGAACTAAACACATTGAGATTGACTGTCACTTTGTTAGAGAAAAGATACTCTCGGGAGATATTGCTACAAAGTTTGTGAAGTCGAATGATCAGCTTGCAGATATTTTCACCAAGTCCCTCACTGGTCCTCGTATTAACTACATATGTAACAAGCTTGGTACATATGATTTATATGCACCAGCTTGAGGGGGAGTGTTAGAATAGTCATGTAAATAGGAGTAAATAAATAACCCTAATCCAATATATGTTAGGAGTAGGACATGTTATGTGTGTATATATATAGGGCTCATTGTAACATATGTATATACATCAATAATATATTTTCTCCCGTGCTTTCTCACAGGGGCCTAAAGCCAATCTTCCATAAGTGGCCTTTAATAATTTTTTATAATAAAAAAAATTTCATATATATTATTTATTTGAAATAATTTTCTAGCTTTTTCAGATGCAAAATTATGAATATTTATTTTATAATCAATTTCTTCTAATAGTTATTTTTCAGTTGATAATATAGTAAATCCATTTAATCTCTTGCGCCATGGTTGATCTTAAGTAAGATTTTATCAATTTTAATTTAAAAAATTTCTTTCAAATTCTAGTTTGTGATTGAGGACGACCCAAGACAACTGTTACAGGAGTTGGTACCAGTATTCTATATGCAATATAAGTATTTGAAAAAGAATCAAGTCTTTTTATTGGATTGAGTATATCGATTAGAGTACTATCATTTCTTCTTTTTGGGATTGTGTCAAAGATTTAACTTTTTTTCCCTTAAGTTTTGAATAACCGAATTCATACTTTATATTTGGCATATTTAAATTTGAATAAATACTATAAGGATAATATATGCGTACGTATTGAAAATATCAAGAAAAACAAACGTAGATGAAAACTAGTACTAAAAAATTGGAATAGAAGAACCTGATTCATTAATTTGATGTGAAAATAAATATTTGTTGCTTTCAATATACTTCTGGTAGGCTTTAGCTTGATTGACGAAAAATACGGAACAATATGATCTCTTTGTGGGACAAAGAAAAAATATAATAGTAGTAACGTTTCGTGAGAACTGAGAAAGATTAAAAAAGGAATTGAATATTGCACAAACCAAGAAAGAAGGTGGAAAAGGTTTACATAATATTTAATGAGAAAAAGACTAAAGAAAAAAGAATAATCAGTTAATTCCTTCCATAAATTTTGCATTTATACGTTAGGAGCCCATTTTTAAGAAATTAAATATCTTTTTTTTTTTTTACCAAAATATGTAATAAGAGTAAAAATACTTGATTAAAAAAAAAGTATTGGGTAAAAAATGGGGCCCCCTAAAATTGGGGGCCTAAAGCTTGGGCTTTAGAGGCTTTACCCAAAAGCCGGCCCTGTCTGTTATTGAATTGAAACTCATAACAAAATCCAATTGTGAATTTTCCCACTTTCCCTGCCTCCCATATAAAAGAGTCAGATCCTAACTCCCAGAGGCCTCCTGTTTTCCAAATCGTGGTTTCCTCTTCCTGGTTTTTCCTCCGAGTTTAGTGAAATTATGTAAATTGGTTCCTTCATTATTTGGTTTGATCACGGTGATATATCAGTGTTCTGAAGCGGGGTTTATGCACTGATTAAGTCTTTGATTTTTTATATTCTATGTCAATTGTGTACAAGATAGCACCGCATAAATGTTTCTCGACAGAGTGATTGATGTTAGTCAAGGTTTCATGTGATAGTATCTACTTTCTGCAGGATCCTTTGGTTACTAAAGGACCGAACTTGGTTCCTCTTTTAGGCATTGATGTTTGGGAACATGCATACTACTTGCAGGTATAATTACTATGCTGTGGCCTAAACAGGATATATCATTACATATGATGCAATGACTTTCCCCTTTGTCTTCAAATGAATATTTTGCCTCTTTTCTCCTTCAAGGTTAGAACTTAGAACTAGATGCTCTTGATACTAATACATTGGATAAAGTTCAGAAATCACAGAAGCCCGAGATGTGCAGAATTCATTATATTGAATGAAGCGTGTGGAATTATTTTGATTTAGAAAGTAAATATTTTATATATTTGTTTAGGTCTTTAATGCCCCCTTCACGTGCAGATCTATTTTTTCACTTCTTTTTTTCCTTGAGCAAAACACGAGGAATTATTTTTAGTAATGGGCGACAATAAGATTGGACTGTAGGAACCATTGCTTTCTTACATTGTATGTCGATTTGGGTGTACCAGCTAATCTAAGAGTTTAAGTTAGATTTGATGCTTCTATACGTTATCTAGGTCTGCATCAAATGCATCGAAGACCTAGCTGTCTTCTAGGATCTCGTATGCACATGCATGTTTCTTGGAAGCCATTACTTGTGTATTCTGGACTGGCTAATTCGATCGCTGGTGTTCTTGTGATCAAGAGTTATCTAACACCTTGCTTTTGCTCTTCACAATGCAGTACAAAAATGTGAGACCAGATTACCTAAAGAACATATGGAAAGTTATGAACTGGAAATACGCTGCTGAAGTTTATGAGAAAGAATGCCCTTGAACGGAGATATATACCGTGATACAGAGGACATGGCCCGTGTTCGTATAAATTTTGACTGGGTGTTTAGTGCCTATGTAGTGGCTGGTTAATGTACTGTGTGTAGATACTGAATAAACGCCTTTGGTTACTAGTTTTGCCCACGCTTTCTGCAGCTGGTCATCCAATTACAATAATACAAGAAAATTTGCATGTCTGGTATACAAAGTTAAAATGTTTAGTTGCCTTGTTGATTTTTTTCTATCTTCAAAAAAACAATCAGCATTTTTATTTGATTACTGAATAAGTAGTTGACATTAAATCACGATTATACCATGATACGAGAATGAATATGTCGGATACATGCATCATTATCGACGTCTTATTATCACATTCTATTAACTTAAGCATCAAAACATAAATCTGGCCACGGCATGTTTTGAAGTGTTCACTAATCGATGAGTAATTAGCTAAGTCATGGCTAAGATTTGGAGAGACCAAGTCTCTTTCATTAGTGTCTCCTAGAATTTAGGTAACACCATGAGTATTGGTTACTTAGAGGGTTTTCTATGGACCTATGAAATTTCAGGCAAGGCCCGCCAATTTTTTTTGTTTTTTTGTTTTTTTGTTTTTTTGTTTTTTTACAATTACAGCATATATTAATACAAACGAAAAAGTAAATATAATTATAAAATTATATTGCACGACTTCGGAACGCCATAAAATAAAGGGAAACTCACACAAATATCCCAAATAAATCTCAACTTACCAACTTCTAGCCATTAGTCATAGACTTACCAAAACTATCCAACAAAAATTGAAAAACCAAATAATAGGGTTCTTTCTCTCAAAGAATCACATGCAAAAATCACCTTCCATATTTTTAAGCGTGAATAGCAACACTAGATACAAGACGAAAAGGAAATTTCATGGACGGGGTAGCAAATAAGGTGATGAAATACGAGAATCTATACAATATTCCAAAAATCTAAACAAAAAGGAACTTTTTCAATGGGTATAGTTGAAATTCATTGAAAATATATAGATAAGTCAATATACAAAATTTGAGGAAGATTGGAGGTGATTTGGACTGGTTTTGTATCAAAATTCGTAATTAAATCGAGTTCAAAAGTCTTCTGCGACACATGTATCAAACATGTATCATGCATGTATCTCACAGCTATACATGGATATACATGTGATACACAATTGATACAAATATGATACATATGTGATACACAAATGATACACAGTGTGATACACATATCATTTTTTTTCATGTTCAGCTTTTAGTTCGAATTTTCAATTCAAACTACCTCAAAACTTCACCAAATCATCCCAAAACTGAGATTCAAGCTCCTTAAGTTGTGCCCAATCTATTCTAATAACACCCACTCAAAACAAAGCAAAAATTTGATTTTTTTTGCTACAAATAGCTAATTGGCTAATTTGGCTAATATTAGTAATATTTTATCAATTGGCCAATTTTTGTAATGAGCTACTTATAAATGGACATAGCTGGTAATTTTCCTAAAATAAATCCAAAAGTCATGGTGAAGGAATGAGTACTGGTCACCAAACTGTTTCCTATGGACCTACGAAATTGCAAGCCAATCAGAGTTCGTCAAAAAAATTCAACAAAATCAATATGTACTAATACACACGAAAAAGCAGATATAATCATAAATTCATGTTGTATGTCCCCGCATTGCCATAAATGAACCCGAAAGTCATGGGCTCATGGCCAAGCAATGAGTATTGGTCACTAGGTCGTTTACTATGGACCTCGGAATTTTAGACCAATAGCAATCTGTCAATTTTTTATTACTATTATTTTTTTACAAAATCAGCATGTACTAATACAACAGTAATAACCTAGTGAATTTTCACAAATGGAGTCTGGGGACAAATGTAGTCTAGGGAGGATAGAGTCTATGCAGCCTTACCCCTATCCTAGGAAGGTAAAGGGTTTGTTTTCGATAGACCCTCGGCTAAAAAAAAGAAAGAAAAGAAGCAATGGCAACGAGTAGTACCAACAACAAGATATTAAGGAAGCGAATTAAAGATAACAATCAAACGATAGGTAGTAATAGCAATCTAATAATAAAAGGATGACATATTAACACTACTACCGGCTTGAGAAAGATAAAGGGATATGCTCGACTACGAAATGTAAGGTCAATTAGAGTCTGTCAAAAAAATTCTAATAAAACAGTAGTACTAATACACTCGAAAAAGTAGAAATTATTACATGACCCCAAAATACCAAAATGAATCTGAAAGTCATGGTCAAAAGAAATGAGTATTCATCACTAGGCCATTTCCAATGGATCCATGAAAATTCTGGCCAATCGGAATCCATCAAAGAAATTCTAAAATATCAACATGTACTAATACACACAAAATAGAGTATAAAACTCAAATTCGTGTTGCATGAACCCGAAATATAAAAAAACAAATCTGAAAATCATGGCAAAGTGATGAGTATGGATCACTAGACCATTTTCTACGCGCCTACAAAATTTCAGGCCAATTGTAGTCTATCAAGAAATTTCTACAAAATCATCATGTACTAATACACATGAAAAAGTGGATATAATAATAAATTCATGTTGCATGACCCCAAAACACAAAGAAAACAAGTTCGAAAGTAATGGCGAAGTGATGAGTATTGATCACTAAGCCATTTTCTACCGACCTACAAAATTTCAGGCCAATCAGAGTCCGTCAATTTTTTTTTTTTACAAAATCAGCATGTATTAATACATACAAAAAATGAGATATAATCATAAATTCGTGTTATAACTCCGAGATGCCATTAAATAAACCTGAAAGTCATTGCGAAGCAATTAGTATTTGTCACTAGGACGTTTCCCAAGAACCTACCAAAATTCTGGCCAATTGGAGTCCGTCAAAGAAATTCTACAAAATCAACATATACTACTCCCTCCGTTCCAATTTATGTGAACCTGTTTGATTGGGCACGGAGTTTAAGAAAAAAATGAAGACTTTTGGAATTTGTGGTCCTAAACAAGTCCAAATGGGGCCCAGAGTATTTGTGTGGTTATAAAAGCTTCTCATTAAGGGTAGAGTTGCAAGTTTAAGCTAAATTGTTACCAAATATAGAAAGGGTTCATTCTTTTTGGAACGAACCAAAAAGGAAATAGGTTCACATAAACTGGAACAGAGGGAGTAATACATATTAAAAGGTGGATATAATCACAAATTCGTGTTGCATGATCCCAGAACACCAAAAAATAAACCGAAAAGTTATGGCAAAACAACTAGTACTGGTCACTAGGCCGTTTTCTATGGACCAACAAAATTTCAGACCAATCGAAGTCCGTAATTTTTTTTTACAAAATCAACATGTACTAATACACAAGAAGAAGTAGATATAATTACAGATTCGTGTTGCAGACCCTAAAATACCATAAAAATGAACCCGAAAGTAATAGCGAAGTGATGAGTACTAGTCACTAGGCTGTTTTCTATAAACCTATGAAATTTCAGGCCAATCAGAGTCCGTCAGAATAAATATTACAAAATCAGCATGTATTAATGTAAATGCCTAATTTTTGCTCTTGACTTTTTCTTTACATTATAATTTTTAGAATTCTTATGTGTGTATTTTTAGGCTTTTAAATTAGATTATGTTAAATAATTTGATATGAGGGTTAGAGGATTGGGTTTAATCATTTTTAAAGCCAAAATTGGCCCAAATATTGGATCAAAATCGGTGGCCCAACAATCCAAGACTTGCTCCATATGCTTTGGCCTGGAAGACTTCAAAACTACGTAGTTTTGTTAGTTTACTAAGATCAAATCCTACCCATCCATTCCATCTTGATCCAACAGCTCTCATTCACTCTCTGCCCTAGGTATATAAAGCCTAAAATCCCAAAAATTTTTCCCCATTCTCTTATTACTCCCCCCTTTCTTCTTCTTGTCTCTTCTCTGTCTCCTCTCTATCGCCTCCACCGGCCGCCGCCCATCTCCGCCAGCCGAAAATCGCCGCCGCTGGCGGACCACCTCCAATCAACCCCATTTTTTCACCCTATGCTCTCCTAACTCCCTCATTCCGAACCTCCAAGCTAAATTCCCCAAAAACCCCTCAAAATCCACGAATTTTAGATCTAGGAAACCCTACCCGCCACCTTTTTGCCCAAATTCGTAAAGTTCCGACCACCACCACCCTACAATACTTACATCAACGGAAAGAGCTCCTAAGACCTATCTATAGATATCAATCTCAAGATGAAACTCGGACCACTAATTTTTCGGCCGCCGGCCAGCCACCCTCTCGCCACTGTCGCTGCACCACTCCTTCTCTGTTTTAGCCCAATTACGACCAAAGAATACTCATTTCCTTTTGGTATGACACCAAGTTCATTGAATTTGGTGTCTACCAAAATGAAATAAGTGTTCCATGGTAGGGCAGCCACTTCTTGGCATCTCCGACGTCTCCTCGTGGCTCGAACAGCTTCAACCACGCTCCTTAGGTATTCCGTCATCTCTTTATTTAATTTTTGATTTTTTTTAGTTGTAATACGTTAGTTCCAGATTTTAATTTTAGTTTTTAATTTTTTTTGGTTGTTTCTTGTTAATTAGAGTTTTTAAGTTAGGTTTATTTAATTAGTTATCTCTATTTAGTTTAGTTGTTTGTTAGATTATTATGATTAAACGGGATCTTTAGTGTATTAGTTAAATCGTTTACTTAGTTAATCAATTATTTAGTTGTCGAACGTCATTGTCCGATTGTTAGCAATGCTCGTCTAGTCTCTATTTTGAGAATTAGTTTGTGAATTCAGTTGTTTGTTCTATGTTTAGTTTGCACAAATCAATTTGTTTTAATCTAGTTAGTTTGGGTTTTAGTTCCATTTGAAGTCTTGTTTCTATTTTGTCAATTGTTAGTTGTGTGAGTTTATTTTAGTTTAAATTAATAGGGTAGTATTGATGTTGTTAAAATCTGAAGTTTTTATGGGTTTGATCATGACTTAGCGTACTAGTAGCTTACTTTTGACTAGTAGGGTGGCTGAAATGACATTTTTGCTCCTTGCTTCTGCTATAGCAGATTTTCAGGCTGTCCTTTCACCTTTTAGCCTTTAAACACTGTTTAGCATAAAAAGTCAGTCTTTTTTGGACAGATTTTTGGTGAACCAAAATCTGCCCAAAAAGTGGCTTTCTTTGCCTACTAAAAGGCTGCCCTTTCCTCATTTTACGTAGACTCTACCATACATTTGCTAGATATTTTTACA